CCCTTCATTCGTTCTTTCCTTCCTTCCCTTCCCTTTCCTTCCCATGGTGGACGTTTCTGCTCCAACAGCTCCTTCTGTCAGTGAAGGGGAGAGGGGGAAGCCAGAGAAAGGAAAAGCCATTAGAGGAAGAATACACCAGAGGGGAGATTCCACCATTCAGAAAGAGCAAGGGCATGCGCGCAGCAGCACGAAAGAGACAGAGTAATTTATTGCTGTTTCAAAACAACCATATAGATTTTTTTTCAAGTTGGAACGCGGCGAACGTCCCATGTGAAAATGTGCTCAAAGCAACTTGGGGCAAAGCTTCCTGTCTTTTGCAAATTTAGCCAAGGCAGCTCCTAGGCCTCAATTTTTCCCGAGGAGTCCTTCCACCATTTATGACTAATGTGGCTTCATCTCCCCCCGTACAACTTCCTCACCATTCCGAAAAAATCCGTAAAATGGGAAACTTGATTGTTCAATGTATTGTCGAAGGCTTTCATGGCCGGAATCACTGGGTTGTTGTAGGTTTTTCCGGACTATATGGCCATGTTCTGGAGGCAATTTTTCTCCTGACGTTTCGCCTGCATCTATGGCAAGCATCCTCAGAGGTAGTGAGCTCACTACCTCTGAGGATGCTTGCCATAGATGCAGGCGAAACGTCAGGAGAAAAATTGCCTCCAGAACATGGCCATATAGCCCGGAAAAACCTACAACAACCCAAACTTGATTGTTGTTGTTTATTCATTCAGTCACTTCCAACACTGTGACCTCCTGGACCAGCCCATGCCAGAGCTCCCTGTCGTCACCACTCCCAGCTCCTTCAAAAGGAACAAAGGCTGCCCATCCAAGCTTAGCAAATGTTTGTGGTTTTGAAACATTGCCTTAACAACTCACAAGGTGCAAGATGGCCCGTGTAGATGGCCACAAGAGAGGGAGAGTTTGTTGCCATTCAGTGTCTTCCACCTCAGCCGTGGCCACTCCCATCTCCTTCAGAGTCAAGCCAGTCACTTCAAGGAGACCATCCATCCATTTTACCCTTGGTCGGCCCCTCTTCCTTTTTCCTTCCATTTTCCCCAGCATCATTGTCTTCTCTAAGCTTTAATGTCTTCTCATGATGTGGCCAAAGTACTTCATCTTTGCCTCTAATATCCTTCCCTCCAGTGATCAGCTGGGCTTTTTTTCTTGGAGGATGGACTGGTTGGATCTTCTTGCGGTCCAAGGCACTCTTAGAATTTTCCTCCAACACAACAGTTCAAAACCATCTCTCTTCCTTCGTTCAGTCTTCCATGTGGTCCAACTCTCACATCCATAGGGTGCTACATTGGTTTAACTATGTGGATCTTCGTTGCCAGTGTGTCTCTATTCTTCACTATTTTATCGAGATGGGTCTCCTCCCAAGAAGGAAACATCTTCTGGTTTCCTGGCTACAGTCTGCGTCTGCAGTCATCTTTGTACCTAGAAATACAAAGTCTCTCACGGACTCCACGTTTTCTCCCTCTATTTCCCAGTTATCAATCAGTCTGGTTGCCATCATCTTGGTTTTTTATGTTTCACTGCAACCCAGCTTTTGCTCTTTCTTCTTTCATCTTGGTCATAAGGCTCCTCGGCTCCTCCTCGCTTTCAGCCATCAAAGTGGTATCATCTGAATATCTAAGGTTCTTAATATTTCTTCCAGCAATTTTTACCCCAGCCTTGAATTCGTCAAGCGCTGCACATCGCATGATGTGTTCTGCATACAAGTTGAATAGGTTGGGTGAGAGTATACAACCCTGCCGTAGTCCTTTCCAGTCATTTAGCCCAACTATTCTCAGGCCTTCCCTTGAACCGAGAGGTGAAGTTGTGCCACTTCCTCCCAAATCAAAGTGTTCAGAGTCAGCAACGTGCAGTAAGCACAATGTTCCCGTAAGCACAATGTTTCCGGTCCTTGTGGTTCTACATGCAGGATGGACACTATCTGATCGCTGTGCCCCATTCTTTCCTCCCATGAAGGCTTCTATCGATTCCTCAAAGGATTAACCAGAACTGTATCTGCTTATAGTAGTGATTCTGAACCTTCCTAATGCTGTGAACCATTAATGCAGTTCCTCATGTTGTGGTGACCCCCAACCATAACATTATTTTCATTGATACGTCATAACTGTAATTTTGCTACTGTTGTGAATCATAATGTAAATATTTGATATGCAGGACGTATTCTCATTCACTGGACCAAATTTGGCACAAATACCCAATATGCCCACATTTGAATACTGGTGGGATTGATTTTGTCATTTGGGAGTTGTAGTTGCTGGGATTTGTAGTTCACCTACACAACGAGCATTCTGAACTCTACCAACAATGGAATTGAACTAAATTTGACACATAAAACTCCAAGAAAAAATACGGGAAGGGTTTGATCAGCATTGACCTTGAGTTTGGGAGTTGTAGTTCACCTTACCTCCAGAGAGCACTGTGGACTCAAACAGTGATGGATCTGGACGAAACTTGGCACGAATACTCAATATGCCCAAACGTGAACAATGGTGGAGTTTGGGGGAAGCAGACCTTGACATTTGGGAGTCGTAGTTGCTGGGATTTATTGTTCACCTACAATCAAAGAGCACTCTGAACCCAGCCCACAATGGATCTACACCAAACTTGGCACACTACCTACATGGCCAACAATGAATACTGGCGGGGTTGGGGGGTGTTTTTGAATTCTGAGAGTTGTAGTTCATCAATACCAAAAAGGAAGAGACGGACAGGCAGAGAGATCTTCAGCCTTCTTTGCCAAAAGGGTTCCTAAGACCATCAGAAGTATGCATTTTCTGATGTTCCTTGGCGACCCCTCTGAAACCCCCCTTGCAACCACCTCAGGGGTCCTGACCCACAAGTTGAGAAACACTGGCTTGTATGGTCGCCATACGTCAGAAATGATTTGCAGGATAGCATGCATTTGTTCCCTCTCCAACTCTAGAAAGATTATTTTGGAGCTGCCTTTGCAATGACAGTTCGGATAGCTACCTGGTGTGGCCCCAGCCTTCCTCCATGTGCAGTTGCTGAGCCTTCTCACCTTGAAAGCAGAGGTGGCCGCTTGCTTGTTCCTTGGTGGCACTTTCTCACGCTTGCCTGCCTCGGCTGGGTGTCCGCCGTGGTTACTAAGAGCTCTTGGTATTGATCTACCTGTGCCAAAAATACTTTGGGGGAATCAGGGAAGGACGTACCTTGCTGCCTGAACAACCGTGGGAGGAAAACAGGTCGAAAAAAAGGACGAGAGCGAGGCTGGTGGACCAACTGTAGACAAAGGAAGCACAAGTGTCAAAAGCTACAAATGCACAGTATAGGTATGGGAAAGAGAGGCAAAATGAGGACATTGCCTCTCCTCTGAAAGCCCAATGGCAAGATTTGTTCAGAAGAGGTTTGCCTTCTCTGAAGTCGAGAGAGCTACCTCTGTGGTACCTTTCTTAATATGTGTTTGTTACAGAATGCAATCTTTATATGTCTGTGTATATTTCTTCAATGTGTAATTCAAACCTGGAGTTAATATGTAGCTTCCAACTTCTCCTCACAGGTTACATCAATGTAATCACAGACTGATTTCCAGCGTGTAACTTTAGTCCTGTAACTTGACAGAAGACTTTAATATATATGTTGAAACAAAGAAATGTTTATTTAAGAATTCTTTTGCACATAAACGTATCTGTTACAAAGTACTTTACTTCAGTTCCACTTGGATATTATTGCAACTGTCTTTCACTCCTTTTGAATACATAAAAATTGTTATTACATAACTTTCAAACAGTTAACGTTTCTACTCTGTTAAGCCACTTTTTAATATATATATACTTATTTATTTATTTCAGATATTTGTACCCCGCCCTTCTCAACCCCTGGGGGAGGGGGGGGGAGACTCAGGACAGCTTTCTTCTTCTTCAAAATATATTTCTCCTCAGCCTCCTGGCTGGCTAGCTTATGACTTTTAGTCACTCTCTTCCCTCAATAGTTTGACTGAAAACTTAGTCCCAAAGGAATCTCTGCCTCTCAGTTTTACCTAACTAATAATTTAGACTTACAAGGGTTGAATAAAAAGTAAGGCCTCCACCTTCATAACTCCTCAACAAATGGCAATACTGGTATGCAGCAGGTACTGGCTTGTTCAGTAGACTCTTATCTACAGTTCCATTTTGGCGGGAAGCCTTAGCATTGAATAGTTGTGTTGTTAAAGTGAGAAGAATGGAATCCTGTGCAGACGGTCGGTCAATCCGACTTAAGCAACGTGCAGTCATTGAATTCTTGACAGTAGAAGATGTCACTTCAACATCTTTAAACTTACTCGCCCAACAACGCATAGTACTCATATCAACACAATCACCATAAACAGCTTGCATTCTCTGATGAATCTCCTTTGGGGTGACACCTTCTGCTGTCAAGAATTCAATGACTACACGTTGCTTAAGTCGCATTGACCGACCGTCTGTGCAGGGTTCCATACTTCGCACTTTAACGACATAACCGTTCAATGCTAAGGCTTCCTGCCAAGATGGAACTGTAGAGGAGAGTCTACTGAACAAGCCAGTACCTGCCGCATGCCAGTACTGCCATCTGTTGAGGAGTTACGAAGCTGGAGGAATTACTTTTCATTCAACTCTCGTAATACAACGACCAATCAGATGCAACTGCCCTTGCCATAATATCAACGCTAATAAACATAGACTAAAAAACTCCATTATAATAAACTTTTCCGTTACACCATCCATCACTGGCACAAGAGTTTCTCTGAAATTGATTTCCATCCTTGTGCAGAGGCATGCTCCACCTTTTTCAGTTCGGTACACACTTCCCTTTCTCTCTTGATTTCCTTCCCTGTCCATCTGTCTGTCTGTCTTTCACATGCACGGACTTTCTCCCCCATACCATCCAACCGGTGAATCCAAGCCCTCCATGTAACCATCCCTCTGAACTCATGTGGCCTTCTAATGGGGCTCCCCTTTCCTTCCCATCCTAACCAGGGTGAATGTTCTTCTTTTTCCCTGCTGCAGAGCTACAGCGTGAGGGAAGCATCGAGACCCTCAGCAACAGCTCGGGATCCACCAGCGGAAGCATTCCCCGGACCTTCGACGGCTACCGGTCACCCCTTCCAACCAACGAGAGCCAACCGCTGAGCCTCTTCCCAACCGGCTTCCCTTGACCGAGTTCCAGGAAGGGGAAAATATCGGTAGGCCGACTTCCCGACGCTCCGTGCAAAACCTCAACGTGCATTTATCCCAATGGTTGGACCCTCTTCCGAGGGACTCTGGTTACCTTAACAAACCTTGTCGATGCCTCTGCTTGCGACCCTTCTGGAACTGTATGAACAATAATACTGATTTCGCTATACCGTGCAATATGGGGATCCTTTCCTCCTTTAATCCGAATGGCTTTCTAGCATTTCCCTCCCAGTCTTTCCCTATCCCTGCCTTGAATGCAGGGAATACTTTCAAAGAAGTATTTTAAGCACCCTTTCGTTTTTACGAGAGTTAAATGAAAAGTAATGCCTCCACCTTCGTTACTTGGGTTTGGATGGGAATATTTTAATAAACGCAGAAATAATCCTTAGAATGTGCTCTTTAACTACCACAATTCACTTTTCCACATCATCACCAGACAATTGGATACATTTCTGCCAACGATGAGCAGGTTTTCTGAAGCTGTCACGGAAGAAGTCTGTGCGCTTTCATTTCAGGTGTCAGCATCCTGGGTAGCCATCGTGCACAGATCTTCCAATAGCCAAGCAAAGCAATACTGTGACCCACACGTTCTTGTGAAATGGCGTTTATGCTTGAAATTTCTCCCTGAGTGATACGACGATCATCCTGAATCAATCTGTCAACCTTTTGCTTGTGAAACTTGGTGGTTGCTGTCACAGGACGTCCAACTCTTTGTTTGTCACGCAAGTCAGATGTTCCCACCTCAACATCTTTAAACTTACTCACCCAATGATGCACAGTACTCACATCAACACAATAACCAGAAACAGCTTGCATTCTCCTTTTGAGTGACACCTTCTGCTGTCAAGAATTCAATGACTGCACGTTGCTTAAGTCGCATTGACCGACCGTCTGCGCAGGCTTCCATAATTCGCACTTTAACAACACAGCCGTTCAATGCTAAGGCTTCCTGCCAAAATGGAACTGTAGAGGAGAGTCTACTGAACAAGCCAGTACTTGCCACATACCAGTACTGCCATCTGTTGAGGAGTTACAAAGGTGAAGGGATTACTTTTCACTTTAACAACACAACCATTCAATGCTAAGGCTTCCCGCCAAAATGGAACTGTAGAGGAGAGTCTACTGAACAAGCCAGTACCTACCGCATACCAGTATTGCCATCTGTTGAGGAGTTACGAAGGTAGAGGCATTACTTTTTATTCAACCCTCATATACACGGTAACCTCCACCCCAGTCCCGATGGTACACAGAGATCAGGCCTCTTCAGTCTGAATTGATCATATTTCATGGGGAGGCATCAGAAGTAATGTGCTGGCCATGTTTAGGAACCCGCATGATCATGGCTAATTGGCTGGGGCTGTCAGCATGTAACTTTTGCAGATATAGGAAGCATTGACTGACAGATATGGGAGAGAAGGAGTCCCAGTGTGGATTGTTTCGGATGCTATGGACTTTGTTTCTCCGTCTTCCTTGATGCCAAGAGTATTATAAGAAAGAACCCCCCCCCTCCCTTTTTCCCCCCTTTGTCCTTGGGAAAGATCATCCTGGGTGATTCCATGTATTTGAGAAATGTACCGAATCCGATTAACCCCTCCTGCTGGGCTACAGTGTCGATTCATCGGGGTTCCTGTCCAAAAGCGCATGCGATCTTAATAAATCTCTGTGGTGATTTCGCTTCGAGAAAGCACTTGCGGCTTTTTTGGCAGCAAAGAGTTTCCTAGCAGCGTTTTCCCCCTCAAAACATGGCAATGTGAACTTGGGGCATTCTAGGTTGGTCCTGTCTCACTCTCTGCACTGGACACTCATTGGAATTGAAGAAATCTGAACTCAAAACTTCACTTTGAATGCATTCACTGAATGGGGCTAGAATTCACAATCCTAGCTGCAGTTTCCAAAGGCTTTTGTGGCTGGAATCACTAGGTTGCTGTGAGTTTTCCAGGTTGTGTGGCCATGTTCCAGAAGTATTCTCTCCTACGTTTCACCAACATCTATGGTAGGCATCCTCAGAGGTTGTAAGGTTTGTTGGAAACAGACAGGAAACAATCAGGGCGAGCTAACACCTCCCAACAAAGGATGCCCCCAGGCAGGAAGCAGCCAGACTTGGTAGCTGCAAAGCCATTCAGTGCTAATCAAGGTGGCCAATGGTACCATTCACACCTGCCTCAAACAGACAAGAGGGCTTTCTTCTTCCCAACCTGGACATTATGCCACAGAGGGTGCCTCCAGGCAACAGATGCCAGGCTACCTCTAGGCAGATACTCTCCCAGATTGACTTTGCAGCTGCAATGCCATTCAGTGCTAATCAAGGTGTCCAGTTGCAACATTTACACTTACCTCCAACAGACAAGAGTTCTTCCTCCCACTCTGGTCATTCCACAGAAATATAAACCCCACTTGTTAAGTTTCCAACAGACCTACAACCTCTGAGGATGCCTGCCATAGATGTTGGCAAAATGTCTGGAGAGAATGCTTCTGGAACATCGCCAGACAGCCTGGAAAACTCACAGCAACCTAGTTGGAGTTTTCAAGGCCTATTCTTAGTTTGAGCCTTGTTCAGCACAAAACTGGCAAACGGTTGTTTTGTATGGAAAACAGCAATTTCTGCCCAAGAAAGAGCATTTGAACTGAAGATTATTTTTTGCACACAAAAGAAAGTGGGTTCCTGCACTGAAAACGCTGTTGTCTACGTGAATCGACATAATGCACACTTTGTTTCCTGCATTTTCTGCACAGCAAACAGAGTTTTCAGTGATATCGTGCTTTGAGCATTGGACTACAACTTGAGAGCAGGACTCGATTCCCAGCCATGGACCTTTGGTGAGTCAGACAGCCTCAGCCCCAGAAAACATCATGAAAGGCTCATCTTAGGGTTTCCATATAATAATAATAATAATAATAATAATAATAATAATAATAATAATAATGTATTGTTGAAGGCTTTCATGGCCAGGATCACTGGGTGGTTGTAGGTTTTTTCGGGCTATATGGCCATGTTCTAGAGGCATTCTCTCCTGACATTTCACCTGCATCTATGGCAAGCATCCTTAGTGGTAGCATCGTCACTACCTCTGAGGATGCTTGCCATAGATGCAGGCGAAATGTCAGGAGAGAATGCCTCTAGAACAGTGTTTCTCAACCTTCCTAATGGCGTGACCCCTTAGTTAGTACAGTTCCTCATGTTGTGCTGACCCCCAACCATAATGTTATTTTCGTTGCTACTTCACAACTGTAATTTTGCTACTGTTATGATTCGTAATCTAAATATCTGATATGCAGGATGTATTTTCAGTCACTGGAACAAATTTGGCACAAATACCCAATACGCCCAAATTTGAATACTGGTGAGGTTGGGGTGATTGATTTTGTCATTTGGTAATGCTGGAGTTGCTGGGATTTATAGTTTACCTAAAATCAAAGAGCCTTCTGAACTCCACCAATGATGGAATTTAATCAAACTCGGCACATAGAATTCCCATGACCAAGAGAAAATACTGGGAAAGTCTGGTGGACATTGACCTTGAGTTTTTTGGAGTTGTAGTTCACCTACTTTCAGAGAACACTGTGGACTCAAGTAATGATGGATCTGGACCAAACTTGGCACAAATACTCAATATGCCCAAATGTGAACACTGGTAGAGTTTGGAGAAAATAGACCTTGCCATTTGGGAGTTGTAATTGTTGGGATTTATAGTTCACCCACAATGAAATAGCATTCTGAACCCCACCGATAGAATTGGACCAAACTTTCCACACAGAACCCCCATGACCAACAGAAAATACTATGTTTTCTGATGGTCTTTGGTGACCCCTCTGACACCCCCTCGCGACCCCCACAGGGGTCCCGACCCCCAGGTTGAGAAACACTGCTCTAGAACATGGCCATATAGCCTGAAAAAACCTACAACAACCCAATAATAATAATAACAATAACAACAACAACAGCAACAACACTTTATTTATATTCCGTCCTTCTCCCCATGGGGACTCTTAGCAGATTGCAGTGTAAACAGATACCAGCAAATATTCAATGCCTTGTTACAATACAATGAGACACACAAACACAAACAAAGGCAAAGGCTTCTCCTTTCATTTCCGGCTTTGGAGGCGGTGCTCATCTCTGGCTCGGATTTTTTTGGGCTGTGAGTGCAAATGTGGCAGACTTCAATGTTATATTTTTGGAATAATCCTCATTTTACTAATGTGTCGTGACACACAATTTGGAAAGGGGTGGTCTCGATTAATCCCCTCCCTTCCCACTTTTTCAGCTCCTTTTAAAACGTCCTGGTTTCTCACTCCCACCTCCTGCTTGGTCCTCAGCTTACTGTGGTTGTTGTGAACTGAGATTCAAAAGTAGTTAATTAACAGTAAAGAAAGGAGAAAATGGGGCAAAATCCTGCCTCCCAGTTGCCGAAGGCAAAAGCAAACTGAGTTGTATGTTTTCTTGGTTAATTTCTGTCTACGGCAAGTCAGCCAAGTCCTCTCAAAAGATGGAAGCTTATCCTTCAAACTTCCCTTATATCATTGAAACATTTGTAAAGATTCAAAGCACAACTTAAAGCTCGGGAGCCGTATCCAGTTTTGATTTCCGTGCCAACGCTTTGTAGGGACAGGGGAGTTTGTGTATGTGTGTGTGTGTGTTTAGATAACACAAGACCCTTCAAGTTGGAGAACCTTCTGCCATATTTCACTATTCCCTTCGCTCCTTTGGGTTGTTTTTTTGTTCAGAGACTCCAACCGTTTAAGTCACGAAGCAAAAGGAAATGCATCCAAACCCACAAATCTTTTAACACTTCCTCAACTTCGTGGCGGACGGATCAGTTGAAGCAAAATTGACCGTTTCCATCCTCTGCTGGAAAAAAAAGACCGAAAGAAATCAAGAGGCGCGTTGGCGCTTTGGCTCGGTCCTACAGAATTGCCGAGGCTGAGATGGAAAGAAAAGTGGTGGGTATGTGTTTTAACAAACCGCTAAAAGTTAGGTTTGCCGTATCGATTTCACATCTCTTTCCAATTTCTTTTCCTTGGGTTTAGAAAAAAAATCACAGCAACTTGAATAAAAAAAAACATATTTCATGCCTTTATCCCTGTTTATTTGCTCCTCCAACGATCCCATGAAAATGCTCCTAAACTCTGCTGTGAAAGAGAGAAGTGCTCCTCTGGCACTACTACTACTAGTAGTAGTAGTAGTAGTAGTTATTATTATTATTATTATTATTATTATTCTGCCCTTCTCCCCGTGGGGACTCAGAGTGGATTACATTTACATACGTAGGCAAACATTCAATGTCTTTACAATCACATACAATGAGACACACAAACAAAGGCAGGGGCTTCTTCTCAAAAATGAGTCCAGTTCAGAAAACACCACTTATCATCCTGAGCATCACTTATAATTTGAATCCATTACTTCATGTCCTAGTCTCTGGAGTGACCAAAAATGAACTTCTTCCATCTTTTACATGACATTCAGACCTTTGTCCATTTTGATGGACCTCTTCTGAACACATTTCAGTTTTGGCACCCAAAACAGGACATAATATAATAATAATAATAATAATAATAATAATAATAATAATAATAATAATACTTTATTTATCTTCCGCCCTTCTCCCCATGGGGACTCAGAATGGATTACAGTGTATACCAGCAAATATTCAATGCCTTGTTACAATACAATGAGACAAACAAACACAAACAAAGGCAAAGGCTTCTCCTTTCATTTCCGGCTTTGAGGCAGTGCTCATCTCTGGCTCACAAATTTCATGTTTTTGAATTGCTAGATTAGCAGTTCAGCAGCACATGGGTTTAACTTGAAGGCACACAAAAACATCAGAGTCTGAGAGCTAAAACTTACCATTCTCTTCCTCCCATGTCATTTTAGTCCTTTTCAGTCATGGATGAGAAAAGCATGAAAACACTATGTAGACAGTATGAACTGCCTCTCTTCAAGCAGTGTTGAGACTGGCACTCCCATATTTCCCCATTCATGGGTGGTAGGCTGCAGTGGCGCAGCGGGTTAAACCGCTAAGCTGCAGAACTTGCTGATTGAAAGGTCGGCGGTTTGAATCAATGGACAGGGTGAGCTCCTGTTGTTAGCCCTAGCTCCTGCAAACCTAGCAGTTTGAAAACATGCAAATGTGAGTAGGTCATTAGGTGCCACTTCTGTGGGAAGGTAACAGTGCTCCATGCAGTCACGCTGGCCACATGACCTTGGAGGTGTCTACGTACAATGCCAGCTCCTCGGCCTAGGAATGGAAATGAGCACCACTCCATAGAGTCAGACTCTATCAGACTTAATGTCAAGGGGAAACCTTTACCTTTACTTTTAGGCCATTCTGCCTTTCCCCCCGAAGCGGTACCTATTGATCTACTCACATTTGCATGTTTTGAAACTGCTAGTTTGTCAGGAACTGGGCTAAGAGCAGGAGCTCACCCCATCCCACGGATTCGAACTGCCGACCTTCAAGTCGGTAGTTCAGCAGCACAAGAGTTTAACCCATTGCACCAACATGTATATGATTAATATGTAATGTGTATACGATTAATATGTAATGTGTATACAATTAATATGTAAGTGATTTACATATAGACACAAAAGGAGCATTTACATATATAGGCATACATTCAATGTCTTCGCAGTCATATACAATGAAGACACATGAACATAAACAAAGGCAGGTGCTTCTC